ATATGTAACAGGTTCGCCCTTTAAGACGTGCACTAGTAAGCAGGAGGTCGTGGGTTCGAGTCCCACCCGAGTAAGCTTGTGAGGTTTTTTTTCGCAAGCTTTCAGACAAGCACTGAGCATACAGTGCTTATTAATATATGTTGGGTAAGGGCAAACCCGTTATATATAATTATATGCAAACAAAACTTTGTTCACAAATTTTTGTACATTAAAAATTAAATACAGAAAACAATAAATAATCCCTGTTTTGGTGAATGAATTCAACCAGGGACCACACTGTTCTCCAAATCAGCCTTTAGATGGCAGAGGATTTAAAGGGAACAGTTTGGAATCACACATCACATAATTAAACACTGATTTGTAAAATAAAATTTCTGACAAAGAAGATGGTGTGTAAATTCATTGCAAGTCTTTTTTTATTTCACAGATATGCATAAAAAAATGCAACAATCCCAAAGCTTGAAGCAAAGATGCAGATGAATAAAAATGTATTCAAGCAAAAAGGATCATGTTTGCGCTGTGCTCTGTAGAATCATGTCCGGATCAGACTTGACTAGTCGTGGCTGTGATGCACACAAGAAAGTTTGTCGAAGTCTGGACAAGTTGCTCAGAATCACCGACAGAATCGCCATGGAGTTCCCCACGATACCAAGGACCGCTACAACGATCTACACGGAGCCTATGAACACCAACTCACCATAGGAGTAGGAAAGTTCAGCTGGACTGTCAGTCATGGAAGCTGTGGTAGCACTGTCCTCTTTGAAACTCAGAGCCAAGTATGAAGTCATGTCTATGACCTCTTAACCACTCTTTTATACAAATTAATGGTTGCTCTTCAATGATATGCACAGTGTAAAGTATAGGGTTTGAGTGAACTGGCAACACCTCTGAAGTCAAACAATACCATATGGAAATGTTTGGCCCCATTGGGTGCGTACACGTGTGTATGTGCATACATTCATTTATGCCTCAAACATCAGAAGAAACATTGCATGACTCATGGCCGCCCATGCTACTCATTTCACCAGTCTGCCCCATCTAGGCATAGTTAGATGATGTGCAGCAGAGATCAAAAGGGTGTATCTAGGGCCATACTACAGTTGTTGCTAGCACTGAAAAAATGGCTCCTTTTACAGTTTGTAACAGGGTCAGACAAGGTTGTGTTCTTGCTTCGGCTTTTTTTCCGCTGTTCCTAACTGAATTGCTAGCTGCCTCAGACTTTGAGACTACAAGTGAAATAAGGCTCATTGGTAGGAGTGATGGCAAGCTGTAAACTTGACTATACTAGTAGTAAGAAGCACAGTGAGTCTGGTGTTGCTCTGACCATCAGAAATGAGCTTGTTGCAAATCTGAACGAGGAGCCCAAAGTGATTAGTGACAGAATTATCACTTTACAGTTGCCCCTAAATAACAACAGGTATTTTACTGTAATCAGTGTGTATGCACCAACAATGACTAACAACATGTTTCTACAAGCAGCTAAATTACACTCTGACGAAAATAACAAACTCTGATAAAATCATTCTATGAGGGTTGGCTGTGACCACACTACCTGACCCACTCAGTCATTGGCAAATTTGGAATTTGGAAGACCAACTCCAATGAAGAGCTGCTCTTATCTCATTGTGCAGAACATCAATTACTTAACACCTGCTTTTGGCACAAACTAGTCCACAAGAACTCTTGGATGCACCCTCGGTCTGGCCATCGGCACCTGATTGATTACATCATCACAAGGCAATGTCATATCTCCGACTTCTATGACACTTGAGCCATGCACGGTGCAAATTGCAACACAGACCATATATGTTGACTTATGATCAGAATAGAAAAGGTAAACAGCAGACTAGCAAGCTTAAATTGGAGACTATCAGGATATAGTTTGAGAAGGGAAGCTGACATTGTTGACCTCCGACTCTGCCTTGGGAGAATTTCAGAGATGCAGTCTATGAAACATCGAAAGAAAAGTTGAGCTTTGTGGTCAAGAAACAGGAAGACTGGTTTGACACAAACAGTAATGAGCTAGTAGCCTTAATTAACAACAGAAATGAAGCAAGATCAAACATGCTTCACAGGAAGATAGACAGACAGATGGATGTGCGGCAATTATAGAGGTATTTCACTCCTCTATACCATGGAAAGTGTTCGCACATGTCCTGCTGATCAGGTTGACCAAATACGCTGAAAATTTTCTCCCTGAAGCTCAGTGTGGATTCCGTGGAAGATGTGGGACAGTGGACATAATATTCTGCCTCAAGCAGATTCTGGCGTGAAGGCATCTGTACATGTCAAAGGTGATCTCTCAGACAGTGTCAACAGTGGTATGAAGCAAGGATGTATTTTAGCTCCTACATTATTCTCCGCATTCAGAGTACGCATTCAGAGATTCAAATCACAGTGTATGGATCCAAAGCCGCCCAGGGGCAAACTTGTTCAATGTCAATCAGTTTAAATCCACTACAAAAACTTAGCCTGTTCTTGTCCGACAACTAATGTTTGCCAATGATATGCCATTCATCGCTCAGAGTTACGATAAAGCTCAAGAAATCATCAGCCGATTTGCACACTTTAAAACATTATATCTTGTAAAGTACATGTTTACTAGGTGCAAACCTAGTAGATATCTTGAAAAAGGTGCGCTTCAAACGAATACTGACCTGATGTGATGATGACGTTATCAAGTGGTAATTCACGTGACATTAAAGGTGCAGTCTTCACAGCACTATATACCGTGAAATACATGGCCGCTGGGGTTGAAATCTCACATATCTTGAAAGGGGAGGGCTTTAGACAAACAGTGATGACCTGATGTGATGATGATGTCATCAAATGATAAGTCAAGCAACTTTAAAGGTGCAATCTTCAAAGCAATATATATTGTGGCAAAACAGGGTAGCTGCTTAGACTTGTGTTTAGTCTGGGTCATTAATAATTCAGGCATGTCTAATTCATGCATTAAACATGCGCGCGGCAACCAATCAGAGGCGCGCATTACCTGAGGTCTGGACGCTTGCTGCGTGGGTTGCCGGGACTTCTCAAGATGGCAGCGTGCTAACCAGAGCTCTGTGCAGTTGTGTTGTGTTCTGAGTTGCGAGTGTAAATCTGAGGTACGACCGCTGGTGGCTGGGGATCTACCTCAAGTGTACCTGGTGCGATTGGTTAGTGTGGTGCTTGTTCTCAGTTGCCGGAGCTGCCGATTATATCAGATCTCTTTGAAGATTGGGGAATCGTTGGACAGTCTCGTTTACTTAAGAAGTGGTAGATTACAGGGTAAGGGAACCCGTGTGAACCAGTTAATTGGGGAATTAGCGGAGCTTAGACTAGAAGGATTGTGTGCCGTTGTTCCATGCTTGTTGGCATAGCGACAGTTGGTTGTGGTCCTGATCTGGGAGCTTGCTTCCCTCGTTGAGGTTTACTGGGTGCAGGTTTCCGTTAGAGTCTGGTGAGGACTATTATAATCGCCTTCTTAATCAACTTACCAGTTATTTCGTAATAACTTGAAGTGGGTGAGGGTTATATAAGTCACCTTAAACCTTGTTGCAGTTTGGGAACGGTGTTGCTTCGTAAGGCAATATAGATTATTGTTGTACAAGTCTACAACGTTGTGTTGTGTTGTACAGTTATGAAGATTGTAATTACTTGTGTGGTCAAGACTTATTAGTTATAAGCCTTCGGTAGATTATTTATTTAGACTTGATCACTGTGAGGGTTACCTGGTTGTTGTGAGGGTTACCCTGATCGCTGTGAGGTTTACCCTGATCACCGTGAGGGTTATTCTGGTGTAGGTTAAGGATAAGGCTGATTAATCACGTTCGTGGTGAGGTTGACCACGTAGGACTACCTCCCCATGAGGATAATTTTGTATATAATTAATTGCTGTTGTATATAAAGGATAACTGAGCACTGACATTGAATAAGCCAATCATATAATGGCCTTAGAAATCACTGGTCACCGTGAGATTTAGTCAGTCCTGTATCACTTGTATTGACATTAATTGTAATCTTTATTGATATTGGGATCAATTACCTAATCATAGAGCGGTGGTAAACTTCCACCAAACGAACAGCCCCTAAGGCATAGTCCACTGTTCATTAACTGATATCCCCCGTTGCGTTTTGATAGCCACTCATTCTTACGGTAGGTTAAATAAATATATTTGTGGGGTTAGGCCAGGTCAATTCTATCTCCGTCATCAACACCTGAGGTGTTGATGACGCCATCATGTGCCAAGTAACGTGACATTAAAGGCTCTTTAAAGAACTATATCCCGTGAAGTACTGGTCCGATTGGTTTCAAACCTCGCAGATATCTTGAAAGGGAAGATTTTAAGACAAACATTGACCTGATGAGGTACGTAAGGACTTCATCATGTGACTAGTCACATGACATCAAAGCTACATTCTTTACAGCCCTATATCTTGTGAACTACATGTCCAATTGGGCTGAAATTTTATAGATAGCAGAATGGGAAGTGTTAAAAGCAAGGTGACATGGTGTAAAGTGTGCAAACTGTAATTTGTTAGATCTCCTAATGTCCGTAAGGGTTCAAATATTTCATCATAACGAGGTCACCAAAAATGTTTTTAGAAACTTTGGGAACTCTTGGATAGATGTTTGACTAAGAAGTGAGAAATCCAAATATGATAGTATCCCAGACAGAGGAATGTTCTTTTCCGAAGAAAAAAAGAAAATGTGAAAGAGCCCTTTGCTCTGTCCTAAAGACAGACAAAACCTCTAGTCTTCTTCTTTCTCTTCTTCTGACCAAAAACCCATTCGTTTTGTGCACATTTCTTCCACCATCAACTTTGATCTTGGATCTTCATCAAGTTCCATCAGTGAAGCACCTTAGTGCAAAGATGTGCATAAAACAACGACATCATGATGATGTCATCAAGTAATTGTGTATTGAATATGTTAATATTTATTTCAACCCATTGACTTTGTAGACGTTTTTGAGGCACCATTTTAGTAACTTGCCTTCAACTGTCATCAAAGTTACAGCCAACAAATACCCTTATACAAAAAGTGCAGAATTTATGATGTCATGATGACATCATCATTTGATTTGTTTAAATTGATTTTTGAATATTTAATATTTTCCCTTAGGTTCTGTACACGTTTTTCAACAGCCAGATCTTGGGACTCAAATATGTAATCTGTTAGACTGGTCAATCCAACTGATTCCATATTTGTGCACACTTTTAGTCCTCAACATAAAGAGGGTCCCAGAACAAAATCGTCATAATGACATCATCAGAGGTCACGTGACATGAGGCTCAAATAACTTTAGTTTTCTTTTCAAATTGCGATGTTTAAGTTGCAAACCTCAATTATGCTCATTGCACAAAACCTTTTTGAGAAAACTTACATACTAGTCATGATCCATTCGTACCCACCAAGGGCAACATAAGAATAAATATCCAAATTTCCAGTAAATTCTGGTACTGATGTAAATATATAACATCAAGGTTTCTCCTGGAATGATGCCACTTTGAAAACCAAGTACTCTATAGACCCTTAAAGAAGGAAATTGTTAAACATAGATATATGTGCATATAATATGCACAAACATTTTAAGGTTTCTACCATGAACAGTACATGCTTGTATGCAAGATATCAAGGTTTTCCTTTCAACATTAACAACATAAGGAATAGTTCCTTTCTGATACTGTCAAAGTCAAATTTAAACAGTGCGTGGTTTGGGGTAATGAATTTTTCATTTCCTGCTCTTATTCAACAGTTCCTGGATTACATCGGATTGCTCAAAATATTGGTGTAGACTGTGCTCCTGCTATGGTTGGATGGGATTTCCACGGCGGCTTTTGTCACCCAGTGTAAGTAACACAGATTTGTTTACTAAAATATGACATGCACTAAAAATATAGCAGTACAGCATATCAGAATGAAATAACCTGATATTTAAGTGGAAATACCTTTTAATTGACCTTATTTGCAAGTTGGCCATGTAGAATCGAATGTCAGGTTAACTTTTTTATTTTGGCACCTGAGAATTTAAATGAAGTAAAACTTCTTTGCAAATCAGTGTCAGTTTAAATCTTGTGATTTATAATGTCTAGATGTTATATCTAAACCCTTCCCAGCATCATCAGGTTAGGAGTGAGACCTGTGGTGTGATTAGGTAGGGCACGAATAACACCAGTAATGATGGGAAGGTCTTCATCCCATCTTTTGTTATCTCCTTTCAGATAACACTTCATTATCTGTAATATAGTGCGATTATACCATTCCACTTGACCATTTGAACTAGGATGATACGGTTTTGTACATGTCCTAGCTATATCTAACAGGCCACACAATGGTTGGAATAGAGAACTTGTAAAATTGGAGCCTTTATCCGTGTGAATCTGAAGGGGACACCCAAACAGCGAAATGAAATTGTAAACAGCAGCTCTTGGTACTCTTTCTGCTTCTTGATCTGGGAGGGGATATGATTCATTCCCTTTTGTGAACTTGCATGCAAGTATAAGGATGTACTTATTACCTGTCTCCGAGGGGTACGCGGGCCTAGAATATCTGGATGTATGTGTTCAAGTGGTGCTGCTGCATGGTATAGGCGCATTTCAGCCCTCGCTTTTTTAGATGGTGTTTTGTACATGTTGCACTCCCTACATGATTTGACGAAGAGTGAAACATCTCCTGCCATACCATACAAGAAAGCGGATTGTCTAACCTTCAGTAAAGTTTTATTTATTCCGGGGTGTCCCACTAGTTTAGTTTCATGGCAAAGACTCATGACTTCCCGCTTGAGTTTAGAAGGAACAACAAAGAGTAACCTGGGGTAGAGTTCTTCTTCCCACTTGTAGAGAATTCCATTTTCTACATATAAAAATGGTAAGTTGCACCATAGGTATTTAACAGCGGGAGACCAGAGTTGGAGTTCATTCTGTTCAGGGACATAAGAGGTTTCAATCCACTGCAGCGGATATTTCAGGTCGTCATCTTCCATCTGGGCCAATCCTAATTGAGTAGAGGTGTGTTTGGTGAACAGTGAAGTTTCTTCGACGTCCGACAGGTGCCGGTCGTCAGTTTGAGACTTCCCATTTTTCACTTTGGTGGTGGGACAACTCATATTTACTCTACATGTACTTATTTGGTGGACTGCAAGGGGGAGCACATCATCCACATCGTTCTCAAACTGTTCCCATTGGCATTGCACACGGAGGCAAGATGTGCAACCACCACATGGAAGATCGTTGATGTTACAGCCTGCTGTATAACAGTAACAGAAAGGAAAATCGGTTGGTATTTGTGAAAGTGTGTCAGCGTTTGTATGCTTAAAGTCCTTTCCTGTGTAGGACAACCATGTCATATTGACTCGATCATCTGTATCTAGGAGAAAAATTCCCTTGTTGTTTCTAGGAAATGAGAGAATAGGAGCTGAGGTAAGGGCTGGTTTTAATTGATTAAAAGTTAGCTGATGTTCCTCTTTCCAATTAAATACCGTGTGCTTCTGAGTCGGTTCATACAGGGGCTGCACCAACACCGCCAAGTGCCTGATATGTGACCGGTGGTAATTTAAGAGGCCAAGGAATTTCTGCATTTCCTTTTTTGATGTTGGTGTGGGCCAATTCTGAATGACAGACACGCTCCCTTGGTTGGGTGTGATTCCTTGTTTGCTTACTAGCTTTTTTTAAGAACAATACCTCCCGTTGAAAAAGGTTGCATTTCTTCGCTGTCAGTTTTAGATTAGGCGCCAAGTCAAAATAGAAACGGTTCACCAAGCGGGAAATGATTGCCCTTAATCCCCTTTCAAACCATTGCCCGATTCAACTGCAAGTGGGCAATGATTGCAAGAGAGCGTTTCCCGAAAAGGAGTTGGCTATGCAGCAACCTCTTTGATGCATACCACCATTTCCCCCACGTTGGTACAAAAGCCCTGACTCCCAGCTTACCATGAATGGCTATTGTGCACCGGCTTTGTTGTGTAAATTGGGCCAGTTCATCCACAGGCTTAGCACAGCTTATTCAGAAGGGGAAGCAATTAATCTCTTAACAAAATACTAACTCCATCAGAGTCAACAGGCCTATGTGCCTCACTAAGTCTCGTGTCACTGAATTAAGATCTGTAGTTTTCTTTCCCAAACTCTAGCACTGTCAGACAGTGATTTCCACATCACAGATTTGTCAATGATTGGAATAGAACAATAAACTAAATGGAGAACATTATAGATGCAACAATCACAGGCCTTCAAAATCAATCTAAAAAGTGAAATAAGAAAAGTCAACTAATGTTGGTAAGGGTAGCGTGGCAAACTGAAGGAAAAAAATCCTTATCCATGTAAACGGTAGTATAAACCCATCCCCAACCCCAACCCCAAATCGTTGACATATCAATGGGCTGGGGTCCCAGCTGTTGATAAACAGCTCTAATGACTCAACCACCAGCCACAATGGAGTGTAATCCTTAAGGCTCTCTATTGTTAGAAAACATCACCCAGAAGTGGTGTTCATCAAACCACAAGCATTTAGCTAGTGACTCCCTATCATTGCCCGCTTTACTCTGAAGCGGGTAAGGAGCTTATCGTTTATGTATCGTTTCCCACTTCATGAACCATTTCTATTTTGACTTGGTGCTTTATGCCCCCGGAATCTTTGAAGTACTTTGATAAGGTTTCCCACTGAGTCCTCAAAGTTTTGTCCTAAAATAATGATATCGTCAAGATTCGCTAGAAACTCTGTACTACTACATGTACATGTAAGCCCTCTGAGATCAGGGTCATGGCTCGCTGGAATGTGGCGGGGGTATTGCATAACCCAAAGGGCATCCATTGGTATTCACACAGGCTGTACTTGGTTGTAAAGGCAGTCTTATGTCCATCCTCTTCTTCTAATTCAGTTTGATAATATCCTTTGCACATTTCGGGCATACTGAAAAACTCGGTTCCTTGTAAGATATCTACATGTAAACATTTATCGATGTTTGTTAATGGAAAGGCGTCTTTGACTGTTACCTAGTTTAGCACTCTGTAATCTTTGCAATGATGAACTTTGCCATCTTTCTTTCTCACTAAGACTGGAGGGGACGCCCATTCTGAATTAGATGGTGTTATCACCCCAGCTTCCAAGAGTGTATCTAAATGTGTGTTTTCCTCTCTTTCAAATCCTAACGGTGTCCTCCTCATTTTCTGTTTGATGGGAGGCGAATCATTAGTGTGAATGGGATGCTTAATGTCTGAATATTTCCCGAGGTCCATATCATCTTTTGAAAAAACATCAGCATACTTTGCTAGTGTACAGGCTAAAGCACTTGCTTGCTCTGTGGACAGATGTGCACAAGATCTTTTCCAAAGATCAACAATATGTGTAGGGAGTCTGTTGATCTGCCTAATCTGAATTTCACACGGAGTCTAACACCCGCAGATCTCCATGTCCATTTGAGGAGGTGACATCTCAGATCTACTTAAGACTTGGTTCTTTTACAGTAGGCCCGTTTGCTTATTTACAATAACTGAATGCACTTCCTCTGCTCTTCCTTCATTGTGCCCCCTCTTTAGGTGTACATATGGGTCGCTGTCGTTTTGCATCAAAATTGGCACTTTTGTGACACTTAGATCTACAGTTTTTGGTGAAACTGCTATGTACAGAATGAGGAGTCCTTTATGGTCATAGAGTTCAGCCGTTCTAACAACAATGTTCGGGGGTACCATGATTTTTCTAAGTACAATATTTTGTACGGAGTACCGCTCCTTCCCATTTTGTCTCATATTGGCCGGATTGGCTTGCCTCTCAATGTTACAGAGTCATCAGTTAAGTTTATTATTCCTCCATGGGCTGTAAGAAAATCTAACCCAATTATGCATGTGTCATCTATGGATGCCAAGAAACAATCCAAATTATGAGACTGGTCGCCAATTGTTAATTTCAAGTGAGGAATTCTTATTTGGTGCCTTTCTCTGCTCCTCAGAGCAACACTTGCTCAGTAAGTTTAGGAGGGTGTTTAATTTTTTCCCACAAACTCTGGTTTATAAGGGAAATTTGTGCAGGTACATGTATATCGACCATGGCCATCGTGCAAATCCCTTGTACTTGGATAGGAATAACCAAGCTTACACCTGAATTAGTGAAAAAATTAATTTCATTCAACCCGTCCTTGAGGTGTTTTTGAGAAATTCAATAGTGATATTGTGGTTGGCCACTGTTATGAACCTTTGATGGACCGATTGATGGCCAAAACAACCAGTCTGTAGTTGTTTAAAGGTATTGATGGGCTTCTCCGAAGAGGAGATGGAGATCCACGTGTAGGACTGACATTGGTGGAAGAAGACTGTGGCGCACCATTAGGGCATTCCCTTGCAAAGTGCCCTGTTTGACTGCACTTGAAGCACAGTTGTCTAGAGGGGATACTTGAGGCAGTGGACTATTGTAAGGCACTGCCCTAACTGGTGAGGGGCTGCAATTTGTTAGCGGTTCTTGGGGAGGTGAGAAGCTGAGTTTTGATGAGAAAGTGCAGGGATTCATTCGGCTTGATGAATCACCATAACGCTGTTTAGGTGTACGTGATTGAGATTTGCGGTCTGTCACATTAGTCCTATTTGCTGATGCAGTTTCCGATTCGAAGCACTTTAGGTGCGATAACAAGTCGTGCATATTTTGATTTACTTCTGACCAGTCCAAACAGATGTCGACCTGGTCAATTCCAGTTTGCCGAACTTGGACTTGTCTTACCACTGGGGGCCTAGTATCAACATGTTCGTTGAATGAGACATGACAAACTCTCGGCTTACAAGAGTTTTCACAACCAAATTTCACAAAACAAATATTCTCTATATTAATTGGCACTAGCCAGAAAAAAAGAAATTAACTGTTCATGTCTTAAATGATAGAAGAGGTCAACATTGATCTACATTGAGGATCTACAGCAAAAATTGCCATTCCTGGACAGAATGCCTAATCCCCCCCTCCCCCGCATTTCAATGTTGGGAGAAACTGCACCATGCTGGCTCGTTTCTGTCACATCATTGAAATGGGGGATGGGAAATTGGGATTTCTAGTCCACTGGAATAAAAAGCAACAACATTTGAAACATTCTTTAAACCAAACTAGTCAGTCTTCTGCTTTCAACCTAGCCCAAACAGTTGCTAAATATGCATTTCCTTTGCGTCTGATTCAATTTGCATGCACATGCGCATCCTGATCTGCATTCACATCCGCGTCCGGTTCCGCATCCGGATCTACATCCGGATCCGCATCCACATCCGGACAGCATCCACATCTGGATTCGCATCCACATCCAAACCTGCATTCATCAGCGATCCGATCTTCATATGATGATTCAGATTTGCCTCCGCCTGCCGGTCTCAGACCCTTCGGTGGGCGACTTCAACTCTTCGCAGGGTCTTGGGAGAAAGTCACATCGGACAACTAGGCGACCATTCGTTACAGATACGCCCTCGAATTCACGAGCACCCCTCCATCTGCACCTATCTTCCGTCGGACTTCAGTTCCTACTGGCAAAAACAAACAACAGGCAACTAGAGTCTGAGATAGACTCTCTCCTTCGGAAACATGCTATCCACCTGGTTCCCAAATCTCAACCAAACAAGGGCTTCATCTTAACATTCTTCCTCACTCCAAAGAAAGAACTCAACAGCTGGTGATCTATTATCAACCTCAAACCTCTGAACCGCTTTGTCCGCCTGAAGAAATTCCGCATGGAGACCCTTCAGACAGTCACCCAATTTCTACAGGTTCCATGCTGGGCCTCTTCCATAGACTTGATAGATGCCTACCTCCACATTCCGATTCACCCACGAAGCTACGAATACCAATGCTTCCTATACAACACGTACCTCTTCGGATTCACAGCTCTCCCCTTGGGCCTCTTCACTTCACCACGAGTGTTCTCGAGGGTTGCAAAGATCATTGCCGCTCACCTTCAAAAGCGGCACGTCATGCAGTACATGGACGACTGGCTGATCTTCAGCAGATTGTTCAACGAAGCAGAGGTTTCTACCGACCTTACTTGTGACATCACAAATCGGCTGGGCTTCATCATCAACCACGAGAAGTTGAATCAATATACTGGAACTTCAGGCCATATTCAATGCACTGAAAGCTTTCCGCCCAAACATTACAGGCAAAAGAGTCCTCGTCCACTGGGACAACTCCACAGTGGTGTCATACATCAACCACCAGGGAGGCACACATTCTCCCCGCCTGTGCCTCCTAACGAGACAGATATTCCTTTGGGCCCAGGATTATGGCATCCACCTCCAGGCGACTCATATTCCTGGTGTCGACAACTCCATAGCAGATGCTATCTTTTGGGGAGAGGTACGTCCCACAGAGTGGACTTTGCACACCAGTGTGGTCGAACAGATCTTCGCTGAAGTAGAAAAACCGAACATCGATCTTTTCGCCTCGGCGGAGAATGCCCAACTGCAAGTGTTCTGCACCAGATTTTACCACCTGCAAGCCTGGGCAACAAACACTCTTCAAATCAAGTGGGAAGGGATGTCGGCCTACGCTTTCCCTTGTCTGACCAGACTTCTTGTCCGGGTACTGATGATCTTCCCGACAGACCGGATCGGTTAAATCAGCCGAAGTCAGGCGTGCTTCACCCTCATCTGACATCACTACACCTGACCTGTTGGCTATTGTCAAACAGTCCTTCAGATCAGCAGGACTTTCTGATGAAGCTACCTAAATGGCCTTGAAGAGTTGACGCCAGTCTACTCGCAGCATCTATGACCTCAGATTATGACATTTTACTTCATGATGTTCAGAGCAAAGTTTTTCTCCAACCGAAGTTTCTGTGACCTCTATAGTTGACTTCTTCATGCACCTGTTCAAATCAGATCTTGAGGTTTCAACTATTCGTAACTACCGGTCAGCCATTGCGGCTATACACGATGGCTTCCCAGATGGTTCAACTGTGTCTGACTATACTGCTCTTAAACATCTACTTCGGGGGATGTTTCTTGAGCATCCCCCAACTAAGAGACTAATTCCTTCATGGGACTTGTCAGCTGTCCTCCAACTGCTTGCTGGTCCTCCTTTTGAGCCTCTCAGTTACGTGTCGTTGATCAACTTATCGGTGAAACTGGCATTCTTGCTGGCAGTTAATACCTCACGCTGTAGCAGTGAACTGAAGGTATTGTCCATCTCAGCCACATCCGATGGGAACCTCATGGTATTCGTCTCACCCAATGATTGGGTTTCTCACCAAGAATCAGTCAGTTTCTTTCCTTCCTCCTGACATTTTTGTACCAGACATTACCAAACACACTGGGACTCCTGGTGACAAACCATGGTGCCCAGTGCGGACTCTTCAATGGTTCTTAGCCAAAACTAAAAAACTCTGAGGTACAACTTCGCAGCTTTTCATCACCACAATAAAACTTTTCATCACCACAATAAAGCTTTTCATCACCACAATAAATGCTCCACCCGCGCCGATAATTGGGCTTTGCTGCTGCCGAGAAATTGTCTTCACCTTTGTCCATACCACTGGCATCGCTAGCATGGGAGGACAAAATGTCAGAGTTGCTATCGGCGAACAGTTCTTGCAAAATGTCCTCTTCGTTTTCCATGTTTTGGCTGTGTTTGCTCATTAGCTGTGTACATTACATGTAAGATGCGTGAAAAAATTGGCAGTCCATCGCATACCCACGCTAAACTTATACTGTAGCAAAGAATGCCCACCTGCTGTCGAGCAACCAATCAGAAGTGGGTATTCAAGTGAGGGCATCCTTAAGCTTTGAACAACCTGCCGATTAGACGTCAGTAGCAAAGGGGTTGCAATTTTCCATGCTGTCCAACAAGGACTGGACATTATTAGAACTCCGACTGTCCAGAAATTCAGCAAGGTAGACCACCACACAAACATGCATAATTTGTTTCTGTTTCTGTGATAATTTTGTACAGCAATGTTTAAATCTCTTGGAAGTTTGAATATTTGAATATGATTTTAGGGGCACTTTTGGCCTAACTGTACGATACAGCAGCATTTTGACTGGTGTTGAATGAAATCATTTCATCTCAACTCTCAATACTTCTTTCTTATTTGAAGTACACAATCCAAGAAAATTTATTTAATTTCATTTAATGATACAAGTAGGAGCACTTAGAGGAATGGCGTACGGTCTTAACAAGTTAGAGTTTAAAAGTTTGTATCACACACTCTGTAAATTTCAATTCTTATTTTATTTTCTTTTAGATTCGATGGATATGTAGTCTGCAAGGAATTTAGTGACATTCTCCTTGATAGTTGGAATAAGGACAAAACAGAGAGAGAGCAGAAATTAAATCAGGTACTTTAAGTTGCTTATTATTACCAGTTTTTGTTTTCTGAAAAAAAGAACCAGTTACAAATGAGACAGCAGCAATCGAAGGAAGAAGACTAACAATAACAACAAAACTACCAAAAGCCTTCACTATTATGAGTCAATTCATACTAAATAATGAACATAATATATTCAATAAGAGAATGGAATAAATAAAGATCAAATTTCAGTATCAAAGATCGAAATGACACGTATAATCATGCACTAGCATCAGTACATACAATGCACAATTGCCATGAAGGGGGAGGGGGAATATTAAAAAACAGACTTTTACAAGAAATTCTCCAAGTTAATTGGAGGCCATATCCATCTTAACAAATGTTAGATCAGGGACATCTCACTTTCTGTGCACAAGCCATTTATCTCTTTTATTATTGACTAGAGTGGCCATCCCACACTTCCATTTGTCAGGGGGTATACTGTCTACAAAAGAAGTGCATTGCGCACTTTTTATAAATACAAGCATGAATATTAAAGACAGTTTGAGCACTCTGATTGGTTGAGACCCGATCACATGGGTGTTTTTATCAGATGATAGATATGGGTCCACTTCGTTGAACCCACCCAAACTGTCAATACAGTATGCACATTTCCCATGTATCTATTATTATCGCTGAAAAGACTTGATCATCCATGGTGCACCCTGACTTCCCACAATGCATTGTGGTCATGCTGCCACATTCGTCCCTTCTTTTCTCAATTCCATAAGGTAACAGATATGTCTTTTTAGGCATTTTCAAGTTTTCGAGTTTCCGTTCTTACTACATGGTTGTGTGTCAACTTGATCCCATCGATATTTGATAAAACAATTTCAAGTCAAACGCAAATCACATGACATGAATTTAACGATGCAGATTGTATCAATAGGTTTTGTGCACATTTTTCTAAAATCAAAGACTGAAGCATTCATCTATCTAAACTGACTTTATTTTGGGTCCATATGTAGTTCATCTTTCCAAGGGGCTACGAAAATAAAATTGTTACGGTAATGTCATAAGTGGTCACGTGACATAAGATGAAAGTTGCGCTTTTTCTCCATTAGTTTTGTACACTTATTCTGCTGTCCTAAACTCAGACACTCTTCCATGTGATTTACCTCATATTAGGTGTATCTTTGGTGCATCTTTAGTGCATCAGCCCAAGAGGGTGTCAGACAAAAGCCATCACTGTGACGTCATCAAGAGTCACATGGCATGGGCTGTCTCTCTCCGTAGGTTTCCTACACATTTTTCTACTACTCAGTGTTATCAATCTTAATGACTGAGTTAGTTTTAAGGATTACCATGAGAATTAAAGAGAAAGCAGACTAGACTTTCCCTTTCATTCGATTGGAAATATACCCAACCATAAAAAATTACATAATATTTCATAACAATTATTAGATTCCAACACAAATCATGTGACATGAGTTTAAAAGAACAGTTTGTCCCCATACATTTTGTGCACAATTTTCTAATGTCCAAGACATGGGCCATTTAATCCATCTGACTTACTTCCTATTAAGTACATATTTAGTCTATTAGCCAAAGACGGTGTCATACAAAAATCATCAGTGTGACGTCATCAGATGTCACATGACATGACATTAAAAGTGCAAACTTCACATATCTTTGTCCTCTGAAGTATATGTTTGATTGGATTCAAATGTTGCAGGTATCTAGAAAATGTAGTGTTGTAGATGAAAACATACCTCATGTCATGATGACGTCATCAGATAACAAGTCACGTGACATTAACTCTGCATCAATTAAAGCCCTATATCTCCTAAAGTAGGTATCCGATTGGATTGAAACTTTGCATATGGCTAGATATTAAGGGTTTTTGGTGCACAATGACCTGGTGCTGTAATGATGCCATCAGGTGATGACTTCATTAGGTGACAAGTCACCGTCATTTGAAGGCTTTTATCTCCTGGAGAACTTGTTTGATTGGGTTAAAACTCGGCAGATAGCCAGAAAGAGAAGTCGTATTAAAGAAAAAAAATCTGGTGACAAGTCACTTAACATAAAATGTGCACTATATCAAGCCCTATATTTCCTGAAGCAGCAGGTTCAAACATGGGAGATAGGTAGAAATGCTCATGCTACAGACAGAATTTAATATCTAGTGCTGATGACGTCATTAGCAGAGAGGTCATAGTTGCATTATGATGGTCTTATATCTCCTGAAGTTCAATTAAATCGACACTCAGCAGAAAGCTCAAAAGGGAGGTGTTACAGGTGAAAATTGTCCTCATATAGTGATGACGTCATTGGATGACAAGTAACATGACATCAATGGTTCATTAAAGGTATATCTACTAAAACTTTACATTCCAATTCACTGGAAACTCTGCACATGATATTTACGGTGGTTTTATGAAGATGTACATATACATCTGCTGAATACATTGACTCCAAATTTTGGGGAAATGGCTATGTATATGTCACCTTTTACACATATCAAACAATAGAGCCAAACCCGAAGCAGCTTGTAATTGGTCCACAAACACATCTAGTTTCAACTGTTGCCCAAAATGTCTGAGACAAAGTTCAGAGCAGCAAGTATATTTCTGTCTTGTTTGATGGGGCTACAGAGTACATGAAAATGAGATGTACGTCATGTAGAGAAAAGATTACCCGTTAGTCGCATGATTTCATTGGTAACAGTGCAACTACTGATGCGGATGGCTTTGTTTCCTGTTTGAATACATCCTGTGAAAAATTTGGATTTCTTAATTGGGAAGATATAGTTGTTGGCAAATGCACGGATGGAGCTTCTGTAAATCTTGGTCTAATTGGAGGAGTTGTGGCAAAGCTGAGGGAAAACAATCCACATCCAGTAGAGCTTGTCCTCAACAAATTTCAGCGAGAAGTAGGTACGGTTGAGAAAGTGCAAAATGAATACGATCCATATAGTGTACCATAACAGTCTGAAGACCAAGCGTGAGCTTAAAAACTGTAATGAGTTTGATGCATAAAGATTAAATGGCACCTTTAATCTAGTTCATGGGACACAGTCACTTCGGTAACATGTTAGACCAAACTAAACAAGGCACAAGCACATTTTGCACTATCCCACTTATCAGGCACGTGGCACGCGGTGTTTAGAACACATTCATTGGCTGTCAGAAATATGCCACATACCAAGTGTACCCAACTAGCCCAGAGTTTCTAATTCCATAACAACACGTGTGTAATTTCATCCAGTGATGCCATGCCAATTAAATGTCAGAATGCTAATTATCATGTTAACAACTGCAGTCTTTTGAAAACGATAGACATCCATTTTTTTTTTTTTTTGTCTGGAGGCTCCAGCAACTGCTTTTCAAGAATTTGTGAGATGTAATGCTACATTTAGCTGGACTTGCCAGGTGAGCCGTAGACTAAAAAGCCTAGGCCTAAGTTTTGGTAAAGTCAGGCCTATTTACGTTTGACGTAATTATAATCAATTTCAACCAATGCAGTTGGATGTCCACTTCAGAAGATAATCCAACATGCCTTGTCACAGAATTGCTTGAAAATTATAACATTTACTTAAAGATGACATATTTGACTTCTCAGATTGATGGACGTCACAACAAGTGGATGTGATACCAGTTGCAAGAATTTTATTTTTAAATGACAGTGTTTGTGGACAAACACAGCAAACACAGCTGCTTTGGCCCTGGTTTCATTTATCTGAAACCAGTGACAAAATCCTTGACTAACCACTCACAAGATTTAATGACATGCCTATATATACGATACAGAAAACACGTTGGTCAGTGGAATATTTAAAATCCATGTCATATCGATGTATGTCACATGACTTGTCATAAAATGATACCACCAACAGATGAAATAAATGTCCATCTGGAACCCTTCCCTTTTTAGCTCTCTGATAATTTTCAACCCAATCAGACATGAACTTTACGAGATATAGCACTTTAAAGAGTGCCCCTTTAATGTCGACTTGTCAACGGATGCTGCCAGAATCACATCAAATCAATTTGAGTCTAAAACCCTTCCCTTTCCAACCATACATAAAATTTAAAGTTTCAACCCAATTGGACATGTACTTCACTAGATATAGTGGTTTGAAGAGTTCCCCTTTAATGTCATGTGACTTGTTACCCCTTGACATCAGAATCACATGAGGTCAAGCTGGGTCTCAAACCCTTCCCCTTCGAGTTAACCACAAAGTTTCAACCCAATTGGACCTGTACTCAACGAGATATAGTGGTTTGAAAAGTTCCCCTTTAATGTCACGTGACTTGCCAGCTGATGATGTCATTATGAGAACTTGTCCAGGAACCTTTTCAAGCGTGTCCTTAGTGTGTGCCCCTAACATGAACTCTGACTGATAACAGTGCCAAAGTCTTCCTCTTGAAAAATGTGTATAGCTGGAGGACTTAAAGAGTGCACACCTAATACACAGTCAATCAGATCAAGAGAATTGCCGAAGACTGGCTGTGGAACCAAAAACATGTTTAAAACCTATGAGGAATATAAAATATTAAAAAATCAATTTAAAAAATCAGACGATGATGTCATCATGACGTCATAAAATTGGTGTTTTTTTTGTATCAGAGTTTCTTGTCGACTGTACTTCTGATGACAATTGAAAATTACTAAATTATCAAATGATGCCCTAAAAACATGTACAAATCAATGGGCTAAAAACACATGCCGAAAAACTGCTCCTTTAAACTTATGTCATGTGATTTGCATTTAAACTGAAACATTTTTTTGAAATATTACTTGATATTTTGACTAGGGTATATTTGTAAAGAAAGAAAGGGAAAATTTAGTCTGATTTCTCTTTCGATCTGGTAGTAATTCTCGGTCGAAGTTGAGGACTACTAATTAAGCTCAATAATAGTGTGTAGTAGAAAATGTGTTCAAAACCTGTGGGGAAAATTAAACATTCAAAAATCAATAAAAATTAGGTGATGAAGTCATCAAGACTTCATATTCTTGGCATCATTATTGTATAACTGTCTTTGTTTGCTGTAACTTTAATGACTATTGAAAATTGCCAAGTTAAAAAAACGGTGGCTTGAAAACGTGTACAAAGTCAATGGGCTAAAAATCCCAGTGCAGCAAAACTGCACCTATAAATTCAAGTCACGTGATTTGCATTTAACCTGAAACATTTTTATGAAATATTACCTGATATTCTGACTATTGGGTATATATAAAATCAATGATGACTACTCACTCATCAAAATCGGTAAACATGTGTAGTACAAAAACGTGTACAAAATCTATGGAGAAAAACTGCCGCTTTTACCTCATGTCACGTGACCCCCGATGATGGAATCATGATGATTTTGTTTTTGGACCGTCTCTTCATGGTGGACTATGAGTGAACATAAATATCATCAATTAAATCGACTGAGTCCCGAAGTCTGGCTGTTGAAAAACGAAAACGTGTAAAACACCTATGGAGAAAAATTAATAATTAATATTATATTAATTAATATTCATAAATTAATTTAAAAATCACATAAATTTGGACGTTATTTTGTATCGGGACTTTCTTGGCTGTAACTTTGGTTACTATTGAATATCACCAAATGACCAAAGTAGTGTCATGAAAAAGTGTACAACGTCAATGGGCTTAAATAATTATTAAAAAATCAATAATTTATCACTTGATGGGATCATCATGACGTCTTTGGTCTAGGACCATCTATACACAAGAGTCCTTCATTGGTGTAAGTTTTATGAAGATCCAAAGTTGTTAAGGGATTAAAGTCGATGGTGGAAGAAACATGTACAAAACAAAGGGGATGGGGGGAGAAGTCGGAAGAAAATAAAAACAACAGAAGTAATGCCTTTTTTGCAACTTGTGAAAAAGCCAACTAGAGCTCATCTGTCTGTTGACAAACAGAACAGAGGGCTTTTTTGCATTCATTTGTTAATTTGAAAAACCAATCTACTGCACAAACCTGATGTTGTAATTATTTCATCAAGACCATTTGGGTTTCAACCCAATCAGGCATGCAGTACAGGAAATAACTTGTTTTTAAAAAATGTGATTTGACTCCTCATTTGATGTCATTATCTCATCAGTTAGATTTTCGTCTAGAACACTTCCTTTCTTTGATACCTGCCAAATTTCAAATCGATGGGATGTGTACTCCAGGAGATATAGGGCTTTAAACAGGTGATGATGTTGTCATCACCTGAAGTCAATCTCTGTTTATAAACCTTCCTTCCTAACTATCTGCAAGGTTTCAACCCAATCAGACATGTACTGTACAAAATACAATACAAACCATTATTGTTATCACGGAAAAAGTACAGATTAGGGATTCTAAACATTTGTCCCTTTTGGCATTCCATACAATGTGATCTGCTCTCTGCACCACCTGCTCAGCATTTTGCCAGGTCCCGAGTATGTGCCCTATTCATTTCGCGCTGTCTGCAGCACGTTACATGCAGATATTGCATGTCCAGGCACACAGCAGCCAATGCACAGTATGCCAAAGGGATTTTCGAGTTTGCAAATATTGGAAGGGGTTTTCGTTGTTGGTGCTTCATCTGTGTGAAGAAGTACACCACTTATGCACTTCATGCAGTTGACTTCAATGTTTTATCTATCAGAATAGAACTAATTAATGTCACTGATTATACATAATTTTATCTTTTCTGGATAAAATATATTCAGTCAACAAATGTGGTAACTACCCTTCATTTTGAGCATGAAAATTATTGTGATTGGAGGAACAGGATGCTAAATGTCTTGAAATTACAGATTTTGTTTGAGAAAACAGGTTTCACCACAAAGCTCAAATAGCAGCTCTATTGCACAGTGCTGCTCAGTTTGTTGGACCATACCATTTTTTGAAAGGTGATAGTGAGAATTTCACATAACGTAAACTCCTTTTTCATAAAAAACCAATTTGAATTCTCCTTTTGGAGCAATTAGCAATTAGTTGTACAGTTTATCTATTTTATCAGTGGATATGTTTGGGCTTACAAAAGGCACATTGGTAGCTTTTATTTCAAATAAGTATGAAATCACTTTATTCTAAAAAATGACAGCATCCCAGGTGGAAAGATTTCACAGATTGTCTCAGTGAAATGATTATTTACTCACTACAGCAAGATGTTTAGAGATTCAACAGTCATGTTTTTGATATCTTATAAGGCTTAGTAGTTAGTCCGATGTATGAGCCACATTTAATCAGTGTCACATACAACTGTTCTTGAAGGAGACACGGCTTTCATCTAAAGGTGACCCTTTTTCTTAGGGTGTTCAGCATCCTGGATTTTGGCCCACAACACTGTAATTCAATCCCTTTTTACTGCAAAATTAACACAAGGCTTTGTTAATACATATACATGCAACAGCAAAAACATACTGCTTGTCTTCATTTTAAAGAGGTGTATCCTCACCATGCAAATGTAAGGATACATTCAGGCAAGGCCTAATACTTCATTCTAAAGAGTAAGAACTGGGATTCTTTAATGCCTTCCAATTTGGAACATTTTTCCAAGTTTCAATTTGGAATTTTTTTTCAAATACCAAAATTGGAATATTATTCAAAATTGGAAGGAAAATGTAAGCTCTTTGATAATTCCATTTTAAAGTTGAAAATGAAAATTTGTTGAAAAAGTTGAAAATTTGTACCAAGATATTTGCTCAATGGAGTTTCCTGTATTTAGAGGTTGATGTTCTTTTTTCTGTGAGATGTGGAGGCACAAAAGCTTTCTCAGTCATTTGAAATCTGTCACCCACTAACCTGGGCAACCAAGCACAAACATTCATGTCCTAATTATGTCTCAAAGCATGCAGCTATCCATTGCATAGCATTTGTTCATTTGCTTTTGCTTAGGATTTTGAAGTTTGCTTATTAGACATCTCCATGAGTAAAACAGACTAAAAGGAAGACAGTTGAAACCATGAAAATTTCAGTATACATTCTAGTTAGGTCTGTTTGTTGTACTAATTTATTGTGAAATCATTTGAATGTCAAAATTCATTAGAGTGTATATAAAATACTAAACAATCAGGACTTGCGAAGGATACATGCCCTATTTCTTGTCATGAAAATCAAATCTATATTGCAGCACAATTGCCACAGTAATTAAGCCAAAGTCCATAGCTCCTTGGCTGAGCTGACCATTACTGATGGTATGGTATGGGTGAACCTCATGTTTGCATCAAAGAAATAAAATTTCAACCCTTATACAGAGATCTTTTCAATATAATTAAACTTTGGCATAAGTGATGTTTTCAATGAATGTCACACAAAAACAGCAAATTATGCAGAAGGAACCATGGAAGAATTACTTGATTTATCAGAAAACTTGAGGGTAAGCAATACTTTCAAACAGTCATTTATAACTCAGGTACAAAAACATGTCAAAAGCAACATTCATTCATGTGAATTTATTGCATAACACAACTATCACCCTTAGAAACCATCTCACGCAATTTCTTGAAATTGGTGGAAGGGCAACTCACTCATGTAGGCCTAATCACAAGAGCCTAACAGTGATCTCTAGTCAGCAGTAAAAGGTTTGGGCTAAAATTAAGGTAACCAATAAGAAAAGCTCGAAATTTTGTAATGTTGGTCTTGTAATTTTTTTCGCTCTCTGTCCTTTTTTGTATGCTTCGTGTCATTGAATATTGTGTAAGATGCATCCAGAAAATGAAATAAAAGGATGAAGGAAATTGGTTGCAATATTAATAGGTTGCCACCGCAACACTTTCTAAAACACCAAGGTGGTTAAAAAGTGCAACAGCAATGATTTGGTGCTTATTAATTGGATGCTGCCAGACATGCACCGGAACTTTGTGGACATTAATCTATGCAGGGATTACGTTGCTTGCATTTTTGTTAACTGAGTTTACAACTGTTTTCTGAGTACAAATTCCTTTTTTTCTGAAGTAGTCCACTAGTCCATTATTTTCAGTGATACTCTACTCACTGATGCTCCAGTGAATTTGCCCTCCAAAGCATGACTTGCAGTTCAGTGTAAACTTGAATGGTTTAATTGTGGTTCCGCAATAAATTTTGAAATATAGCTGTGAGAAGAGGCTACCTATATGTACAACGGAAATTATATTATGTGCACAAACATTGTGGACTGGCCAAACAAGGATTGATTGTATGAGCCCAACAGAAGCCTGTGGATGTGTTTCCTTTTAATGGAATTTGAACATTTTCTTGCAAAAGTGCCACAGAAGACATGGTAGGCACCAATAAAATAGCCACCTATCACTTGAATATTTTGCCAATTCCACCCAATGTGGAACTTTTAAAATATTGTAGGCCATCCAAAACACATGTGTTCATTAGTAAAGTACTTCATTTATGTACTTAGGAGTATCCTGTCATATGGGATTATGACTGCATGTTTAGTAACATTGCTTTGTTTGTTCTTTATGCTTTCTAGAAAAGAAGAACCCGGGCTACGAAGAACTGGAAAGCATTGGTTACTGGTGTTTTAATAAGAGAGCGACTTAATAAACGTTTTCAAAGAAGTATTTGTGCAAATGCTGTCAGTGATGCTGGCAATGAGTCATGGCCAGTTAACAAGTTCAGCAAGTTGCATCAGGATTAATGAATACACAAGACTAGACAAGATGCTTGATGTTGTAGTCAAGTTCTTTTGAGTACGAAGTTCACTGCCAAATATTGAACTGCTTTTAAATCTTATTAGCCAGTGATGATCTAAAGGTTTCATGATCTGAATTTGCACCTCAAAGTATTAGACTACAACACTACAGATGCTACACAGTTATGATAAGTTTCTTATAGAGAAATTTCTCATTTAATTATACCACTGTGCATTATACGGTGTACAGTGTATACAAATCAGAGTTTCATAGGAGCAGTAAGGAGAATTCTTTCATGAGGTGACAGATTTAAAGCTGAGCGGAGTGGAATAGCATTCAATCTGTCACCAAGTATAATTTGTGCATGAGTGTGATGTTCTTTATGTTATACATTGCCTGAATAAATCCTCTTTGTGGACGAATTGCCATCTTTCCTTCTCAGCCTGGCATAAAATTGTGACATGAAGTCACTTAAAAATCAGTTCGTGCTTCTTTCAACAGATTTTCTGGGTTTGTTGCAAATAATTTGAAACATATCTAGGTATTCAGATATTCTTCACGTAACCAGTGCTCTGTGTTTACCGTCAGCTTTCTGCCATTTTGAGCTGCAGGTATCACTAGCATCCAATTTTTATATTTAAGATTAGCTGCTACAGACAGCACTGATTTATGGTATGGTTTTTGTGGAGGTATTATCTACAGCACTGTTTTTGTGGTACGTGTGCAAGATAGAGTGGTCAGAATATTTCATGTCATGTAACCTGTAGTTCACTTATCGGATATGAGAGGGATGTTTTCCCTGTAACGTGGGACATATTTTAACCTGAGAGTCTCATAGCACCTGAGGTGAAGCGACGGGAGCTGTGCATCCCTGACATTGTTAAACATTATGTCCCACATCACAGCAGTCAAAAGTTGTTTTGTTATGCCTCTGTCTTCAATTCTTAAAGTATTTTCTCACTTGCAGAACTCAGATTTAATCGAAATGATAAAGTTTTTGGTCCACTGCTGCACAGAAGGTTTTATGAAGCACATGCACTCAATGCTTCAATGTATTGTTTGTATTGTTTGCATCTTGCTTGAAGTCAATATCTTTGTGTTTTTAAAAAAATCTTTGAGGAATATCTGCGTGTCTTCAAGCTGACAAACATTATATTTAGGGATGTTTACAAAGAAACAAACTTCAATTTTCACCCTCTGTAAATAATTGCAGTATTCAAGCAGCTGATATCGTATGATCAGCTGTTTGGAACACTGCAACTTTTCATTGGTAGTTGGAACATGATCATTTGAAGTTCATCACTCCTCCCAGCGTTTACTATTAATAACTGTATGGTGAAAGTAGCAGAAGAACCAATCAAGCAGTCCTCACATTATAGTTCAGAATGATTGGTATAGACTATTATGCGATATCAGTATGTGATGAGATGTGATATCTAATGGTGAGGGTGACAGATCATGTGATCATTTTGGCTAAGGAAAAATACTGTGTGCCAGACAGAGATATAAACATTAAGAACTTAAGAAATCATTGCTTTGCAAATTTGGTATTGTTTGAGTTTAGTATGCCTTTATGTAAAAAATGAGATATCAAAAAAATAAAAAGCTGTCATGTTACAGTCTGATTAATTAATGTTTAATTGTGTGGTGTGCTATACACAAAGTGGACTGCATCCGTGGCTAATTTTACAGTACAATTTTACAGGAAGCAGAAAAGAGTTGAGAAGAATGTAGGCCAGAATCTCTAACATGATCATACCTATTGGCATCAATAGCACTTTTCAGTTTGTGGCACAGGAAGTTCTAGGATTTGGGTGTGCATAAATCGTAAGGTGGCTCTATGCAGGCCTATGGTCAAAGCAAGGGACAAAGAGGTCACTATACTGGAGCATGTACACAGTGTATCTTACTCATCTGGGGTCTGAGTGGAAAATGACCTGGCCATGTGAGTGGCTGGGTAATCAGGGCTGCTGCACATGGGTGTTGCCGAGCACCACTCCTGGTTCTGACTCATAAATAATTCATGAATGTACTAGAGAGGACAGTGCACAAAGTGCCTGGCCACAATTCTCCTCTGCTACAACTATTCGGTCCCACACCAATAGAAAGTTCAACTCGGGTGAACCTAGAATTTCATGTATTTGCTTGAATTAGAATACCCTTGTACGTTTTAGAAATTCTAGATCACAACTATGATCTCAGTCCTCAATAATCTTTAACCCTAGCTTTTTTAAGGGGGGTTGTCAGTCCTACAGCTTGTTGTAGAAAACCAGCCAGCCAGCCGTCAAGCTTTTCGCTTACCAGGTTGACACCAGTGGAGGATGTGTTCTGGGACCTCAGATCCTGGTACGGCACATCTTTTGGTACTGTCAGTAGCCCAGACACCTGGACTTGTCTGATGGAGGAACACGGGATATGGTGGGGGTTGGGGTGCTTACCCGCACCTTGTCTGGTAGATCGTCTGATGTTGTTTGTTTTGGGGTCATCAGTAGTCACAGCACTGCCTTTCCTCGCTGGTTTAGTAGCACAACGGTGGCCCGTCGTGGTGGCTCTCCTGCATCATCAGTACTCTGCAACACAGCTGACGTACGGAGGGGAAGCCCAGAGTTTGCAGCTGAGCTGGTTTCAGGCTGCTCGGTACCTGCAGTAACACCAGAAAGTGAAGGTTTGATGGTAGGGGATGCTGCTGCAGCTTTGTCAGGGCCCCTCGGTGGGTGAACAGTGACTCTTTCAGTTCAGGGAGGTTATACTCCAGCACTAACATCTCAGGTACCTCTGTGGGGTCATCAAGGTCGTCATCCTTACTGTCCTGACATTCTGTTATTGGTGCATGGGCAGCGGCATCGGGTGGAGGGGGCATCGGGTGGAAGGGGCTTGGGTGTTCTTGGAGGGCCTGTGGGGCTAGCTGCTTCCTCTGCTGCCCTTTCTGTTGCCTGGGGTAGGGCTCCTGATGACTGAGCTGCTTCACCTATCACCAACTGGTATTCTTCTTCTGGTATGTCTTCCCTGGTGTTGAGGATCTCAGTTCGGGAGATGTGGTTCAGCGGACCAGTGCCATCTGCCAGTTGTATCTAATATACATTGGTTAGGGGACGGAAAATGACCTTGTAGGGGGTTGGTTGCCAGTAGTCTGCCGTCTTGTTTCTCCCTTGGGGTGGCTACGGAGTAGAACTCGTGTTCCCACAGCGATCCCCTTGTCATTTGCTCTGGTGTCACTTCATTCTCGCCAGGTGACACTTCTCTCCTGCATTTTAGCCAGCGCAGAATCTGCAGCTGTCTTGAGCTTCTTCTGATGTTGCTGTACCCAGGGGTCCAGTCCTGAGGAAGGCATTGTCTTCATTTTAGTCAGTCCTAGCAAGAGGTCTATGGGCAAAATTGGTTCCTGTCCCATGAAGACGAAAAAGGGTGAAAGGCCGGTGGATGAATGTGGTGTGCAGTTGTACATGAACACCAATTCCTGGATGTGCTCTGGCCATCTCTTCTTCTGGTCTGCCGACAGTGTACGAAGGAGGTTGTGTAGTGTGCAGTTGAACCGCTCACACTGCCCGTTGCCCGGTGGATGGTAGGCAGTGGTGCGGCTCTTGGATGTCCCATACGCAGTACAGAAATCGTTCACCAACTGCGACTCAAAATTCCGTCCCTGGTCACTGTGGATTTGCCTTGGGACGCCATACCTTTGAAACCACTCCTTGATGAGGACCTTTGCAACAGTGGTAGCTTTCTGATCAAGGCATGTCACCACTTGTGTGAATTTACTGAAAACATCAGTCATCACCAGAACACTTTCTCGGCCATCCTATGCTCGTTCCAGCATGGTGAAGTCCACAGCCAAGATGTCCAGGGAGCGTTCAGCAAGTAGACTGTCCATGGTAGGTCGGATAGTCGGCACAGGTGCCTTGGCCAGGGTACATCTTTCACACTTCTTGCACCACTTCTCTATGTCACCCGCCATACCAGGCCAGTAGAATTGCCTCCGCATTAGTGCCATGGTCCTCTCCTGCCCCGGGTGAACTGCTTGATTGTGTAGAGCGTTAAGTACCATGGGTTGTAGTTCCGCTGGGAGTAGCATCTGGTGGCTTCTGTGATTGGTTGATTGACATATTCTCTCTAATACTAGCCAATCAAATGACATCAGAGGTACGCGTAAATGTGTTGGACTAAAATTGGGAACCCAGACTTTGCATTGAAGGAAACCTAGTAAATGTTGGTCGTTTAAGAGGGAACTAGACTTACCATTCGTCTCGCAAAAATGTAAACACTGCCGGGATCGCTGGGTGAGTAGTGCATAAAACTTTAAAACTTTGATTGTCCCAGGCAGCGAAAATGTTGGTATTAAACAGATGTTTAATCCTTTTCCTGAAGAATTGTACTATACTTCCATGTACTCGTGAGATCGTTTTCGTGTGCAAATGGAATTGCCAAAGTTGCTCATTAACGGTGGGGCATGCTTAGAAAACACTTCACTTAATTTTGGATAGACCTCTTGCGCCAACTGAAAGATCAAGGCTATTTCAATGGAGATCTTCTAGACAAATCACCGCTGGAGCTTTGCTTTCTGAATATGATCCAGGTAAGTTCCACATGAACTGGTCTTGGAAAGTGTGATTCGTGCACAGTATTCAAGCTGGTGTATGAAGGTAATCAATATTAGGTTATTAAAAGACTTCTTATTTAAATTTCACAAACTTTAGGGAGAACTGGACACGGTTGTAAAGGAGTGGAATGCCCATCGTGTCACCCCTCAAGAAATCCCCATGGCCCATTTGGACGCCCCCTGCTAATGCATATACTGTGGCGAAACTTGCCGGGATGTTTAAATATTAGCAGACTTTGAAGGGAACAGTGTTGAGATAATCAACCTTAGTTGAATGTCATGGATGCTTAAGTTTATCTGGAGACCTCTGCCAAACTAATCACGTGTACTTTCTGATATTTCTTGCTTTCTTCATGTAGAACTCTCCATCATGATTAAGATGAATAGGGCCGACAGCCTTTGAAGTAGTGACAAACTATGTCAGTCCAGATGATCCTTCTGAGAAGGAGTATGCTCAATTGACACAGATTCTGTTCAACGTCTATACATCAACAAAGAACCAGATTGTACTGAGAATGGCTTTTAGGAAGCGACACCAAGAACCAAGTGAATCTCTGCCCACCTATATCAATGAGCTGAAGAAGTTATCCTGACACTGTGGATATAGTACAGAGTTGGATACCAATCTGCGGGATACATTTGTCAGTGGATTGTGCAACAGAAGAACCCTGGCAAAACTTCTGAGCAAAGGAAACAGTCTCACATGGAAGGCTGTGTGGTGAATTAGAATTTTAGTTTCATGGAGGAAGTTGTAGTGTCTGGTGTTGAATAATTTTTTGGGGGTAATCAGAGGGCGCTCTTTCATTTTTACGGTGTTGCAGGTCCAGGCGCGCAAATATACATAATGTGGCGGGACAACTGACACTTTTTTGTGGTGGACCAGCAGACTGGCCTAACCCCACAAATATATTTATTTAACCTTACGCAAGAATGAGCGGCTATCCAAATGCAAGGGGGGGATATCAGTTAACGAACGGTGGACTATGCCTTAGGGGCTGTTCGTTTGGTGGAAGTTTACCACCACTCTGTGATTAGGTAATTGATCCCAATGTCAATAAAGATTACAATTCATGTCAATGCAAGTGATACAGGACTGAACTAAATCTCACGGTGACCAGTGATTTCTAAGGCAATTATATGATTGGTTTATTCAATGTCAGTACTCAGTTATCCTTTATATACAACAGCAATTAACTATATACAAATTTATCCTCACGGGGAGGTAGTCCTACGTGGTCAACCTCACCACGAACGTGATTAATCAGCCTTATCCTTAACCTACACCAGAATAACCCTCACAGTGACCAGGGTAAACCTCACAACGATCAGGGTAACCCTCACAATAACCAAGTAACCCTCACAGTGATCAAGTCTAAATAAATAATCTACCGAAGGCTTATAACTAATAAGTCTTGACCACACAAGTAATTACAATCTTCATAACTGTACAACACAACGTTGTAGACTTGTACAACAATAATCTATACTGCCTTACGAAGCAACACCGTTCCCAAATTGCAACAAGGTTTAAGGTGACTTAAATAACCCTCACCCACTTATTAAGTTATTACGAAATAACAGGTAAGTTGATTAAGAAGGCGATTATAATAGTCCTCACCAGACTCTAACGGAAACCTGCATCCAGTAAACCTCAACGAGGGAAGCAAGCTCCCAGACGAGGACCGCAACCAACCGTCGCTAGCATGGAACAACGGCACACAATCCTTCTAGTCTAAGCTCCGCTAATTCCCCAATTAACTGGTTCACACGGGGTCCCTAACCCTATAATCTACCACTTCTTAAATAAACGAGACTGTTTAACGATTCCCCAATCTTCAAGGGAGATCTGATATAATCGGCAGCTCTGGCAACTGAGAACAAGCACCACACTAACCGATCGCACCAGGTACACTTGAGGTAGATCCCAAACCACCAGCGGTCGTACTTCAGATTTACACTCGAAACTCAGAACACAACACAACTGCACAGAGCTCTGGTTAGCATGCTGCCATCTTGAGAAGTCCTGGCAACCCAC